GTACATGGTAACCGCAAACCGCATTTTGAACTTCTTAGCGATGCACGGTCATTTATTACATGACCATTTTCTTTTCTTAATGGTTTGAAATGGAGATGACTCAAAAGTACATGTCGTGCCTTGTACAGAGTTGTATCTCACTGCCATATACATATGTATAAACCCTGTGAACAAGCTGTTTTTAAACTGCATGTTAGTGTTTTATCTAAACTTATAAATCTTGCATTTCATGTATTTCAAGTGAAACGACTGAGAGAGAGAGAGAGAGAGAGAGAGAGAGAGAAGACCATGGAGCAATGAAGTCAAAACAGAAGCCACGAAGTCTTTAAAAAAAGACAAAATGAAATTTAATGAAATAACATGAAAATCAGTGGTATATACATGTAGAAATACCGTAAATCACCAATACTGCTCATTGACAAAGGAACAAAATTGAATACGGATATATTTCAGCTTATTTATATACATCAAACACATACACGTACATCAACCCGTATTTGAAGCTCTCCATGTAGTAGTACAGTGACTTGAATTCAAATCGAAGGATTATCTTATCTTCATAATGGCACAGAAAAGAAGAATAAATGTGCCGTTTTAATTTTCTTATCAAATTAATTTTAAAATGGGCAATAGCAGGCCAATTATTATAGGAAACCATTAAAAGCCAGTGTTTTAATTTTTTTCAGTTTGGTAACACGAAGTTTTGATACGTTCATGCGATTTTGCGGTAAAAACAACTCTTAAATAATCATTACAATAAACTTATCATTCAACTAAATTTTCCACCACAATAACGCACAAAGTCATATTAGTTATAGAAAAAAAATCATTTTAACGTACAATCCATTGGCACCACTATGCAACGTGTTTTAACAACGATTCAGTTGATTAAAACCTTGTATCCGTAAGGAATTGGCTTTTTGAAAAAGGAATACAAAATAAAACAGAAACCAGTTACTGTGTTTTCATGCATGCGACAATATTGTCCGTTTATAATGAAATTTGACAAAAGTTTTTTAAAGGGTACCTGTTCTCTATCGCACTACGGTACGATGGAATACAATGGAAAAAGTACAGCTGCACGGAAATTCTTGGGTGTTTACCAGGTTCATGAGTACGCGTCGTTCTGTCACGATGGTTGACAGTACTGGGTTGAATTATTAGAAGCGTACTGAAGAGTTGACAAATGTCCATCTTGTAAAATGTGTTTTAACGAGATGCCGAGGACACACGCGGTTCTCCTTCTAAATAGTCATCTCCTGTAAAATGTCTGAATATGGATATCGTCGACATGGCAACGGCGCTCTAAAGGTCGGGTTTTTCCTATCCTCACAAACAGAAACATGTATATTTTTACAGATGTTTCATCCGATACTATGCCATTTATCTTGAAAGTGTCTCTTAAGCTTGGAATCTAAAACGTTCCCTTTCCCCGTCATTTAGAGGACAGTTTTGGACCCTTGGTCCATATCAGAGAATTTCTGAGAATCACACCCAGACGATGTTGGGCTATGTACCTGTCAGGTGAATGAACGGATAGCAGTGCTCGCCACAAAAGCACGGCAATGGTCGGCAATGTCAGCCATGTTGACACGGTGGAGTCTGTTCAACTCTGACGTCACTGTTGCTCGTTTTCCCGCGCTATGACGTCACTTTGTACAGGTTTCCCACATCATGACGTCACAGCCTCATTCTCCCTCATCAACCGCCACTGTGGAGTGATTGTAAAGGCCCTGGGCCATCAGATGGAGAGCAAGACCGTTCCTGTGCCCCAAAGACTTCTTGATCTTTGCCCGTTTGTTCTGAAACCAGATTTTTATCTGGGATTCGTTTAAGTTTAACTCACGCGCTAGTTTCTGACGCCGCTCCTCCGTGAGGTATCGATTCATTTCAAACTCCCTTTTTAACCTGGCTAGTTGCTCATTGGTGAAAGCGGTGCGAGGGCGTTTTTCTTCTGGCTTGCGCTCTCTCTTCTTCAACTTTCTAGACCTCGGTCCTAAAATCGAAATGAAAAGTAAGTTTTATTTTTGCTGTCAGGCAGATAACATTGTTCTATGTTAACTTGATGCAGAAACAGTAAGTGTAAATAAATAAATAAATAAATAAATAAATAAATAAATAAATAAATAGAAAAACAAAAAATAAATGATACAAGAACACCACCACCAACAACAAAAGATTAATGAAAAGATAAAACAATAACACACAATTTAACTACAACAGATTCACGGGTATGTTTTAATTCTTATTGAAAATGAAATTCGCTCATTTTTTATAGATTAGATTCCTAGCAAGTATATTAGAGTTTACAGTTATAAACTATCAAACCTTTTCGACTTCATATCGATTATGCATTTTTGATTTATTGAGATCTCCTTTTTCTGATTCATTTTCTTTTAAAATAACGGGTAAGCACATTTTTGTTAGGCTTGAAGCCCGAGTTGAACTATGTTACATTATACACAGTGCAGGAGCTAGCGTTCACGAATCTGCTTCGAACCAGGGACCAAAACACAAAAGCAATGGGGAAACAGAAGAATGCAGTGGCAGTTAAGATGACTGCCCATTTTACTTTATTCGCTTTTTAACAGAGGCACACCCAGTAATCAAAAGGAAAAGGCTGTTTTGGTGTCGACAAGCGTCAAAGATCTGTCGAAAATGAAAATCACTATTTCTTCATAAGAAGAGAAATCTTAAATGATATCAGAAGTGCCGTATGAGAGAGAAATTAAAAGAAAAGGGTCAATTCGGGTACGACATGCCTTAGTGATCTAAGGAGGGCTTGCTAGTGCTAATAACAAATTCAAAACAGAAACAGAGTTAAAAAGCGACTTGGCCTCAAGACTGATGAGACTGTCAGTTAACAACCACTATTCTCTCCGTGTCCTCGGCCGTCCTTTAAATTCCTTTCCATGAGAAATATCTCAATTTAGATCCCGCTGCAGCACCCACGGTAAACTGACACGGTTTCAAACTCAAGAGCCTATCTCGCAATTTGTGAAATGTTAATGAAAACGCCAAGACTAATTTCGAATGAAGACGCAACTCAGACGCGCAGATGTGATAGCTAATTCGAGATTTTTATCGGGATGAGGTTCACTTTATTTCAAGGCGGAGCTCGGCGCGTGGTTTCTTGTCCTTAAAAAGGGTATTGTAGGTTTTATATCTGTTTATCCTTTTTTATTCCAAATTCTTCAGCCGTTATTATCTTTTCTAAGGATACAATCTGAATCATCTTGGTTCTCACGGAGAATTAACCACTTGTTTGGCGTGTTTAGAGAGGAAGCACATTAATGTCCCGTCCAACAGAAAAGTCGTCTGATCGTCTGTTACCAAAACTGCTAAAATTTTCAAACGTCCCAAAAACGTTGTAGTTACAGTGTATAAAAATGACTGATGAAAAGTAGGGGTCTTGCTTTGTCTCTTCTGGTAACATTCTACGCACACAAACCGAAAACTCCAAATGTATAAAAATTTTTCTTACGATATAATTCGCTCCTCATGCCAAAGGTGGATAAAGATTGAAAAAAATCAAATTAGATTTTCATATCTCAATTCCAGGGTATGTCAGAGTTTACAAAAAAGCTTTCTAGACAACATGGCTAAATGATGATATTACAGCACGTTACATTACAGGCGTGTTATCCCGCCGTCCCTTGAATGAAAAACAAAACTGCAGTTCTTCAACCAAATTTATTGGAGTAAAGAAACAAAATCGCGTAATAGAGACCAAGAAAAATTAGGTGTTTAAAGTCTTTTGAAACTACTCTCTAAAAGTGTAGTTATAACAGAATTTTAAGAAAAAAGACTGAAGTTTACAAAATCTTGATAAAACCAAAGTAAAAAACAAAACAAAACAAACTTAATAATAAAATATCTTTTCCGTCTCAGACTACAACCCACCCTCCCCAGCGTCTCTCGTTTGATCATGACGCCGCTAGCCACGAGGTCGCATGAAATCCCTTTGAACTATAAGGCGGCACTGGTGTTGGCTTAATTGATTTTTGGCAGGTCGATAATTACCTCACTAATTGAAAGCTGATCATATCTTTAAGAGCGTTTTAATCACTGGCTGCCTTTACCGTTCGACATTAAACCACCAGGTTAAGTTAAGCAACGAGTCTCATAAATCACCAGGATGCTGTTTCTTTGACTTTCTAGATACCCGAGTCATCTTTGCCGGGGTTTCGTTCACGCTGAACATAAAGTGGTATAATCAAGCAACTAGAAAGGCATATTATGATGGAATAATCGATTGGTGCCACTACAGGGCCTTCGTTATTACTTTCATTTCTCTAGTCAGTGGTTACAAGTAACTGCAAACAGATAATGTCAGTAAATGACCCCGGAAGAGGGAATTGGGACGAATTGTATATAGTGGGCAAGTTAATTACAGTCAGTCACGAGGGAACAACTCCAGTTGCATCTTCTCCATCAGTCTGACTAATTTCATTCAAACTTCACTGTTTATCGGTGAAACGAAATAAGTTTCTAACCAGACTGGAAAAGAGTTGGCGCGTAATTGTAAATCCTGAGTTGTAGGACCTAGACTTGTTTTCATGATAAAACTCAGATAACAATCCGTCAAAATACAATTATGTGATCCTGCTGTAAAACTTTACAGATCTAGCCTATAATATAACCGGCACGCCGTCTAACTGGGAGTTGAAATATCGAGAAATAAATGTCGATCTTTATTAGGTGTAGTGTAAACTGGCTTATGGGGTATAGGCAGTTCGTCGTGTTCTTTGCTACTCACCGAGTTGCGTCCGCCATGCAACAATGGCTGCTGATATTGGCCCGAAGTATCAATGTCAGTTTGCATTGACTTTTTGCGCTAAAGGCAAACGCTTAAGCGTTTTTAAACGAAATGTTCTTCGCTTTGAATTGATTTTTCTTAACAACTCTAAATGAGAACATTAAAGAGATGACATTAAAGACCACTTTGTTGTTTGGAAAAAAAGTCTGACAGGGCTGATTTATCAGTTTTGTTCGTGTACTGTAAGGGAAGGATTTTCCCGAAAAAGACAAGAAAACCAAAGAAATGTAGGGTGATTGGGGGCTATTTTTGGGACTGGCTATAAGGGATAAATAGCTTGTGTATAAACCTACGAGAAAGGTTTCATAAGGTTAAAAGAAGAGTTAACAACAGAAGAAGGGCTTTTTATGGGGGGGGGGGGCGTTAAATTTGTATAACAATATCAAGCAATTTAAAAATGGATAAACTATATTAATGTGACATTCACGGGTTTTTCATGTAACCGCAAAGAGATGGTCGAATTAATTCAGAACTGATCATCGCTTGCAGCGGCCTCTAAGTTGCTCCTCAACAAAATTAAAGCTCATTTCCCAGCTAAAAAATTAAAAACAAACCCTGAAGTCCATCAAAACCGCGACATTACCCCGAATATTGGTCTGTCACTCAATACGTACGTTATAAACACTGAAACCTAACTCTAAACCTCCTTAGCGCGTGAGGAAAGCTCAATATCCCTCTTCTCTCTGAGTTAAATGGTACTTAACTGCAACATTAAGAAAGACGGGGACATAGCGCTGAAATATGGCGTAATCCAACGCCGCGCTGTTCCGGATCACTTGTAACCGAAGCTGAACGTAGCGGAATAGTTTGGGGGTCATCTATCACGTTTATCACACTTAAATTGCGCTAATTTTACACAGCACTGGCCAGGTAAATAATCATCTTAGGCCCGGGCCGAGCATATTTTATTATCGCATCCACGGGGCCCCTTGAGGAGATAGGTGCACGTAAGCTGCGTGGCCCGTGCTATGTATGGCCATAAGTTTTAGGTTCATATATCATGAAAATTAACGAGGATTCCTTGTGTTCTCAACTTAATTTTCATCTGATGAACTGGTAACGATGCTGCCGGGATTTATTGGAGCGATCGTGGTCCCGGCATATGTGGCTGGGTATGGGATGGTATGGTATGGTATGGTATGGTATGGGAGGGTATGGTATGGTATGGTATGGGAGGGTACGGTATGGAAGGGGGGGCAGAAGAACAGAAAGTTCCCATCTAAAAATACATTCATGGCATATGTGCACTCACAAGCAACTACGTTTTCTGTTTTTTGTTCTTTATATTTTCACTATTTGTCTTATTCTAGACGACATGTGGATGATATAAGGCAATTTTTATAATTTTCAAATTCTGCACGTTAAAAATGCCTTGGAAACCCTCATAGACCGAGCCTCTTTAGCTGCTCCGTTCTTAAACTCGCTTAAAAGTAAAACAAAAATGAAAAAAAAAAAAAAAATCAAAATGAAAATCAGGCTGATAACCGGTATTTTAATTTGCAACAGGTCATAAATAAAGGAGACAAGTCGAAAAGTACATGTATCCCCTTTCCAAGTCTGGCCATCATATCTAAACACATTTATACGTATACATGTATTACGCGAATTTCATGACTATCAATTCTCCATATTTTCAGGTGCCATATGTTTCTAACACAATAAAAAAAAAAAAACAATCTCCTCATTGTAAAACCGGTTACGTAGTTACAATCCCTCTCCTACATGTATCTCACATCACTCATCTGGGGCTCGCGTCACTACAAAATACAGATATAACATCTCCGTGGCTGACATAACGGAACAGATGTTACTCCGCGGTTACTAGCTGTTCATAATTTGCTGTGGAAATTCCTTGCGCTTTGAGCTGTGCGCTGGCTGCGCGAGGTGTGACGTTGCCTAGCAACGCTTCCAGATTCAGACGAAAAAGTTGTATTAAAAAAGAAAAGAAAAAAATGCTGATGCTGAACCGAGGAAGATGGCAGCTTTCAAACAAAGTTGATATTCAACTCGGTAGCACGGAATGTGGTTTTTGAAATTAGAATCGTGTAAGCTTTTTTTCTGACTGATATTTGTGTGAGGAATGGACTGTACTATTTTTTGCTAAGCTGAAGAGAAGGACAATGTGCTGTAGTGTTGGACATACTCTAAGTATTAAATATATGAAATAATCCTCTATG